TTTTATTCCGCGGCTGTTGCAATTCTTCACGATCCTCTACCGGTTTCTCAATAAACGACGTTTTTACAACTGCCGCTTTTGTGGTGTGCGACAACAATGTTGCAGCCACTTTAATTAAATGATCATTAAAATTATGTTCTAGCAAAGCCTACTCACGACTGCTGTAGCAATTACTTAAACCTGATGGGATTGTTAAACGGGATCATGGCTTACCACACCTATCGATGACACCTTCACTTTTTTACATCGAAGTGGAATGTGGAATACGAAAGGTTGGACGCAGCATTTAAGAGAGTACACAATACAAGTTTGGTATTAAATTTGTAAACTGCATATTTTCGGTCCCATACATAATTTCTTACTTCTATGAACAATTTGAACATATTCTGTTTATTGCTTGTCATGAAGTATTACTAGGCAAAAAAAATGTCAGTGATATTTGTATTTTAAGCTGCTGTGGAAATATTAGCATTTTTAATAAAAATGTAAACAATTTGAACTAAGTAAATCAGACTTCAATATGAATTTCTGAATATAGGCTACACAGAGCCGAATAATTTTACAAATACCCTTTGAAATGAACGTTTTTTGTTTAAAATATAATTAAAGTTCCTATTGAAGCTTACATTATTATACCCTACACCACAAGGTGGTCAGGGTATTATGTCTTTGTGCATTTGTTTGTAACAGGCAGAAGGAAACGAGATAGACCCATAGTTCCTTTTGATGATCTGCATAGAATCACATTCTGAGTCGATTTATGCATGTCCGTCCGTCCGTCTGTCCGTCTGTCCGTCCGTCCGTCCGTCCGTCTGTCCGTCCGTCCGTCTGTCCATGTATTTTTGTAAACAAAGTACAGGTCGCATTTATTGCCCGATCCAGATGAAATTTTGCAAAGGTCTTTTGTTTGGCCTAAGGACGAACCCTATTGAAATTGGAGATAATCGGTCAAAATTTGGATATAGCTCCCATATATATCTACGTCCGATTTGACTTTTATTGTGCACCAAACGTGTAATATCAGCCCGAATTGTATGGAATTTTGCACATACACCCATATTAGGCCTGAAAATATGTATGCCAAATTTGATCGAAATCGGTTCAGATATAGCTATAGCTCCCACATATATTGTTCATCCGATTTGTTATTTTTGTCCACCGCCACCGTAATATGCACTATGCAACAACAATATTTGGGGAAATATATCAAATACAGCTCAGAAATACATTTGCTAAATTTTATCGAGATCGGTTCAGATTTGGATATAGCTCCCATATATAACATCGTCCGATTTACCTTTTATTGTGCACCAAACGTCTAATATTTGTCCAAATGGGATGGAATTTGGCACTTACGACCCAATTGAGTCTAGTAGCTAGTATGTCAAATTTGGTTCAGATCGGTTCAGATATAGTTATAGCTTCCATATATATTATTCATCCGATTTGTTATATGTGGTACCCACAACCGTAATATGCACTCTGTAACAACGATATTCAGGGAAATATATCAAATACAGCTCAGATATATCGTTGCCAAAGTTTATCGAGATCGGTTCAGATTTGGATATAACTCCCATATATATCTTTATCCGATTTCAAATTAATTGTGCACCAAATGGGCAATACAATTCCGAATTTAGTCCTTTGAACTTTAAATTATAATTATAATCATAGCGTGTATGATTGAATTCTCCCATAGAAACTTTTAATTGTTATGTGGAGCTCTACTTAATTAGCAAAGTGGTGTAGGGTATCATAAAGTCGGCGCCGCCCGACTTTAAGACTTTCTTTACTGGTTTTTTTATATACTACTGACTGTCTCAATTTTCGGTGTAATATTGCGTCAGCTGTTTTAAGAAACCTCGATTTAAGAATTTGCAACTTAAATTGTTAATATTGTATACAATGTGACTTGTATCATTGTGAACAATATATAACAAGCAAAGAAAGTCTTTAAGTCGGGCGGGGTAGACTTTATGATACCCTACACCACTTTGCATATGAAGGAGATTCACATAACAAATAAAAGTTTTTATAGGGAATTTGTGAGAACTAAATCATACTAACTATAATTATAATTATAATTTCAAGTCCAAAGGAACTAAATTATACGAGGAACATCCTGCTCTATATCGATTTCTACTAAATTTGTCGAGACATTTGTGATTTTTCAATTTAGGCTTGTTTTATCCATTTACACGTTTAGTGCACAATAAAAGGTAAATTGGACGAAGATATATGTGGGAGCTATATGCAAATCCGAACCGATCTCGATAAAATTTAGAAAATGTATATCTGAGCTGTATTTGATATATTTCCCCCCCAATTATTGTTTTTACAGAGTGCATTATTGCTATATCTGAACCAATTTCGATCAAACTTGGCATACTTATTTCCAAGCTTAATTTGATTGTATATGCAAAATTCCATACTATTTGGGGTGATATTACAGATTTGGTGCACAATAAAAAAGCAAATCGGACGAAGATATATATGGGAGCTATATCAAAATTTTGATCGATTATTTCCCATTTCAATAGGATTCGACCTTGAGCCAAACAAATGATTTGTGAAAATTTTCATATTGATCGGACAATAAATGCGACGGACGGACATGCATAAATCGACTCAGAATATGATTCTATGCAGATATTCGAAAGGAATTATAAGTCTAAATCTCTATTTTCATCCTCTAACGTTTTTATACCATTTGATACGGCAAATCGTGCTTCATCGAAATAACGGTTTTAAATCCTATGTCTCTCTTGACCAAATCTTTTTCAGGACATTTGGTATCGATCTAGGGATGTCCGTTCTTATAAGCCAAGAACGGATCTTCCAATTTTACGTAAACTTTGCAAATCCCAATATTTTTTTAGTCTTAGGTCAGGTACGAAAATGGATTATACTGGCCCACATCATCAAAAACTTTTGGATAATTCTCTCATGAAATTCAAAATAAGCATCTGATTCATTCTAAACTTCACACATTCCACAAATACACTATCTGTTGTAAAGATGGTAGTCATCGGCCCACTCCATGGTGTGTCTTAATATTCTGATATGAATATGGAATTAATCGTCCCACTCTTTATTGTACCTCCCCACAAAAGTTTGAAATTTTTATTAACTATTATTACAGGGTGAGATGAAAAAACTGCAACCAACTTCAGACTGCTGTCATTTCTAAGCCACTTGTGCGACAGCTGTTAAAATTATTTCAGTGACAAGCATTTTGGTGAGAACTTTCCAGAAAAAAAGTTATTCGTGATGGAATTCAAGCGTGTTAGCGTGATTTCTTTACATTTGGCTGGAAACCACAAGTGGCTATCGTTAGAGCACTCCAGCATTTAAATGTGAATAAATCTTTTGTGTCTTGTTTTTTTTTTTTCGATGAGAAAACGTTCGTTTTCAAGTTTGTAAACAAACAAAATGGTGATGGTGTGGGTCGCCATAACAGCCGATGGTCGCTCTCCGCTCGTACTTATGGGCCATATCATCAGAATAAATGCCGAATATTATCGAGAAAATATTTTGGAGGGTGTATTGAAGCCTTGGATATGCAAACATTTTGACCGCAGACCTTGGACATTCCAACATGACTCAGCACCATCGCACTCAGCACGCTCCACCCAAAAATGGTTACAAAATACAAAATCTAAACTTATTCTAAAATATGATGCTATTTCGGATATTTGTTGCTTTCATTCAATAAAATTAAAAAAAAAGCAAAAAATATAGCGTCTGACTTTGATACACTTTTTTTAGTGGGCAGATATATTATTATTAGCCACTATTTCTAATCAGTTTTAAGACAGAAATTTGTGAACATTTTAAAATGGCAACAAGTAAAAAAGCTGTAAGTTCGGCCGGGTCGAATTTTAAATACCCTCCACCATTTGGTGCAAATTTGGCAATTTTAAAAAAATAAAATCCGTTAAAAATTCTGTTAAAATCTTAGAAATACCTTATGTCACAAGCTATTACAATATTCAAATGCGAAACTTCAAAATCAAAATATCGAATATAGGGAGGTACCATGGGTGCTATAAAACGTGGTCCTGCACAGACAATTTTCAGGCAAAGGCTGTAGTATCCATCACGAACTTCAAAAACAAAATGTGAAATAATTACAGTAAATAATGTCACTAAATCCATTAAGAACTCCAAATACCAAATGTGAAATAATTCCCGTAAATAATGTCGCTAAAATCATCAAAATACCGAATATCGGAGTGAACGGGGGGCTATACGAAGACGTGGCCCACAATTCCGGTAAATAATGACGCTAAAATCATCAAAATACCGAATATCGGGGGGACGTGGACCTACATGGCTCATTTTCTGTCTTAAGATGTAGTATCCATTAAGAACTCCAAATTTGGGGGCTGTACGAAGCATGGACCTACATTGCCTACATCGAATCAGTCCGATGAAAAGAACTTTATCTTAATATATATGTTTTTTAGAATTTCATTTTCTGTCTTTTATAAAATATTTCATTTCACAATTTGGTAGAACTAGAATTAAGCACCTGTGTTGTAAAGGTCTCCATATATAATTTATAACTTAGTCCATTTGAAGATTCGCAAAAAGCAAAATGTCTAATTTGTTTATGGTTGGCTAACTGAGATGCAAATATGCTCTTTATGCCTCCGATATAAGTGAAATTTTCCAAATACCAATAAAATTAGGTGGTGCAAAAATACTTAAAGCGTTTTGCCGCTAGCAAGTTTGATTCCCTCGAACGCCGTTTATAAAGGTCACAAAAGACAACAGACCCATTAAAATTTTAACGTTCCTAATGCATTTTTAATTCCACGACTCTTGGCAACAGTCTTCTACCTACCTCCAGCAGACAGACAGAAAAGCGAAACAGCTTAAGTGGTCATCATAATGAAAGTTTAACTTTGTTAGCGGCCAGCAATACAAAGTTGCTGCTCCAATAATGAAATGCAAACCTGCCTTCGAGCTTTTGAAATGAAAATCCATTCGAATGCTATTATATTAAATGTTTATTAGCATCATTCATAAAATTTACTTCACATTATTAAGAAAGCATGATAGTCTTAATAATTTTAAAGCCAGTGATTGCTGACTTTGATTTTCTGCTTCGGGCGAACAAATGAAAACATTCTACAAAAAACTTTGACGTTGGCAGTTCAACAAGAAAACGCCCTTGAGTGCAAATTTCATTTTTCTATTAAACGGTGAAAGTGTGATTTTTACTAAAGGTGGCAATTTCGGTGTTCCACTATCTTTTAGCTCCACTGCAACTCTTTATTGGATATTCAAACCTCGCAACATGGTAAAGTAGGAATAGGACATATTCAACAATGACTGAAATATAAGCAAAGTCATCGGATAGACATTGCCAACTGTGAGCTAAAAAGGGTATAATTCAGAATTCAATTTCTATTGTGAAAAAGACTGGTTAAGAGATCGTTCACTACTTACGCACAACGGCTTCTGGGTCCTTTGTATGAACAAAAGCAAAGTCTTGCGAAACTGTGGAGTTCCCTCGTACCATGGTATGGAATAGGCTGCCTCAGACACCTTTAAGCTCTATTTCAAAGAGAAAAACACAAAGAAATGAGAAAGTGTGAAAGTAGTTTAATCCATATTTCATTATATATATTTTTTTTCATATCAATTTACCTCCTCAAGCATCTCATTAGCACTGTAGTAACAGGCAAATAGCACATACAACATGGTACCAACGTACATTATTATTGAAACGAATTGTGCCATTGTATCGATCTGAAATAAACTCAGATAAGCTTAATTTTATATTGACGACAATCATTTACATTCCTTTGCATCAAGTCCTGTACAATGTCTGTCAAGAAGACTAATTTTGACAATAAACTTACTAGACACTTTGAATTTTATATCACATTTTTTTTATACCCTACACAACAAGGTGGTCAGGGTATTATGTCTTTGGGAATTTGTTTGTAACAGGCAAAAGGAAATGAGATAGACCCATAGTTCCTTTTGATGATCTGCATTTTCTGAGTTGATTTATGCATTTATGCATGTCTATCCGTCCGTCCGTCCGTCCGTCTGTCCATGTATTCTTGTGAACAAAATGCAGGTCGCATTTATTACCCGATTGAGATGAAATTTTGCAAACAACATTTGTTTGGCCCAAGGACGAACCCTATTGAAATTGGCAATGCCGGGAGGTACCGTTATATGGGGGCTATACCAAAACGTGGACCTATACATGCAATGGGAGCAAGAACCCACAATGATCAACAAATACCAACTTTCAGAGAAATCCGTGAAAAAATGTGGCAAAAATCATCAAAATACCAAAAATCGGGAGGCAAAGAGGGCTATAAAAAAGCTTAGACATATACATACAATATTTTGCCACACGAACCAGCACCTATTATGACCTACAAATACCAATTTTCAGACAAATCCGTGAAAAAATGTGGCAAAGATCATCAAAATACCGAATATCTGGAGGTACCGTTATATGGGGATTATACGTGGACAAAACGTGGACCGATGTATCTCATTTTCAATACAATCCATCCTAGACACAATACAAATTATTTCGCTAAATTTTGACGCTCTACGTCAAATAATGTGGCCTGTATCGTGATTTCAACAGACAGACAGACGGACATCGTTAAATCGACTTAGAATTTTATGCTGATTACGAATATGTATACTACTACTATATCTACGACGAATATTTAGGGATGTTACAAACGGAATGACAAAATTAATATACCCTCCTTTCCAAGGTGGAGGGTATAAAAATGTAAAAATTATGGCGTTTGACTTAGTTGCAGTTTTTCAATCTCGCCCTGTATCTCATAAAAGGACAGAAAGTAGTCGATATTGGCCAAATCTGGCACCTTGTACAGGGTTGCCCATATTCGACGGACCTTTGGGCCCTTTGAGCCCATTCCAATCGACGGGGCTTGTCCGCAGGCAACATTCTTTGCATCAATTGACTTTTGTATGGGAACAAATGCAAATCAATGCGAATAATCCGTTGTAAAGTGGACCGAGCCATGCCCAACTGCTGAGAACGGCGTTTTTGGGATGTTCTTGGGGACATCTCAACACTGGCTCGTACAGCAGCGATATTCTCGGCCGATCATCTTGGTCGATTTTATATGGCCTCTTCGGATTAGAAAGAGCCTTACCAGTCGACTGCGCACTTCTCACATTTTTTAATGTTTTAAAAGCACGTTGAGTTTTCACAATTGACTTCTTCTGTTGAATGTAAATTTCAACTATTTCAGAGCGCTCGCGTGGCGTGTATTGGTTCATGGTAAAAATCTGCTTGGACTGACGCTTCAAACGCGGTATGTCATTAAGCGATGTGACATCTTTGTCAAAAGTTATGGCGTTGTCAGATGGGTCCGTCGAATATGGGCAACCCTGTAATATTTATTATTTTTATTTGTGTACTAATTATCATGAACATGTATTATTTTTGCCTTACTAGTAATGTAGAGGTTATGTAGTTGTTATTACTAGTAATTATGAGTGGTGGTAAATGCGACACCCGAGCTTATCATTTTTATACCCTACACCACATAGTGGTAAGGGTATTATGTCTATGTGCATTTATTTGTAACGAAGCGAGATAGACCCATAGTTACTTTTGAGGATCTCCATAGAATCACTTTCTGAGTTGATTTATGCATGTTAGTCCGTCCGTCCGTCTGTCCATGTATTCTTGTGAACAAAATGCAGGTCGCATTTATTACCCGATTGAGATGAAATTTTCCAAACAACATTTGCTTGGCACAAGGACGAACCCTATTGAAATTGGAGATAATCGGTAAAATTTTAGATATATATATAGCTCACATATATATCTTCGTCCGATTTTCTTTTTATTGTGCACCAAACGTGTAATATCAGCCCGAATGGTATGGAATTTGGCACATACAACCAAATTAGGCCTGAAAAAATGTATGCCAAATTTGATCGAAATCGGTTTAGATATAGCAATAGCTCCCATATATATTGTTCATCCGATTTGTTATTTTTGTTCTCCGCAGCCGTTATATGCTCTCTGTAACAACAATATTTGGGGAAATATATCAAATGCAGCTAAGAAATACCTTTGCTAAATTTTATCGAGATCGGTTCAGATTTGGATATAGCTCTCATATATAACTTCGTCCGATTTACATTTTATTGTGCACCAAACGTCTAATATTTGCCCAAATGGGATGACATTTAGCACTTATGACCGAATTGAGTCTAGAAGCTAGTATGTCAAATTTGGTGAAGATCGGTTTAGATATAGCTAAAGCTCCCATATATATTGTTGATCCGATTTGTAGTATTTGTTAACCACAGCCGTAATATGCACTACGTAACAACGATATTTAGGGAAATATATCAAATACAGCTCAGAAATATATTTGCCAAATTTTATAGAGATCGGATATAGCTCCCATTTATATATTTATCTGATTTCAAATTAATTTTGCACCAAATGGGCAATACAAGTCCGAATTTAAAAGATACAAATACTTCGGCATTAGTCTTTTGAACATTAAATTAAAATTGTAATCATAGCGTGTATTCTCCCGTAAAAACTTTTAATTGTTATGTGGAGCTCTAAAAAATTAGCAAAGTGGTGTAGGGTATCAAAAAGTCGGCCCCGCCCGACGTAAGGACTTTCTTTACTGGTTTTTATTGTAATTTAGAAACTATTTTTAATAGATCACAACTTTAGTACACTCATTAAATAAACGCTTCCAATGTCTCCAACACCTGACAAAAGGAAAAAAAGTCTGGGGTTAGAAAATACGACGCTATACTGTTCCGTGGAGCGATGCATTATCAGAACAATTTACTTCATGTAGGTAGTTAGCTGTAATGATTAGCACAGACGGACAGAGAGATTGGCATGTGCAAAACGCCAATAATGTAAAAATGTGGCAAAGATCATCAAAATATCGAATATCGGGGGTACCGTTATATGGAGGCTATATGAAGACGTGGACCTTTATGGCTCATTTTCTGTCTGAGGCTGTAGTATCCATTACGAACTTCAAATACCAAATTTGAAACAATTCCGGAAAATAATGTCGCTAAAATCATCAAAATATTGAATATCGGGGTGTACAGTTATATGGGGGCTATACGAAGACATAGCCCATTTTCAATAGAGAGATTTCCACAGATTGACAGACGGATGGACATTGATAAATCGACATAGAATTTTATGCTGATCAAGAATATATACACTTTGTGGGGTCTAAAATGTATATTTCGAGGTGTTACAAACGGAATGACAAACTTAATATACCTCCATACTATGGTGGAGGGTATAAAAACCGAATAACCGTTATATTTGGCCTATACGAAGACGTGGACCTGTATGGGCGATTTTTGTCATATGCTATTATAATATTTAAATACGTGGATGAAGTAACCATTAGGAACTTCAAATTCCAAATTTCAAAAATTTCCTGTAAAAAATATGGGACATCGTCAAATACCGAATATCTGGAGGTACATTTATATGGTGACTCACTTTAAACTAAGGAAAGATAAACTATATAAACCATCAACTTTATAGCAGTGTACACATATGACCCATCATACTTACAATATTGATGCAGAAAAGAAGTGAGCAGATGATTGCACCGAATAGTAAAAATTCGCCAAGAATAACGTATGTTACCATCTCATCGAATACTTTGATAAATCTGTGAAATTGGTCACAAAAGAACTCGTATAAAAATCGGATACATCAGTGAAATTTTTCTGTTATCTCCCCAAAAAATTAATTGGATTTTTACCTCGTCAAACGATTATAATAATGTGCGCATTCCTTTAAAGCCTCTAAACGGGTTTCGTCGTCATCGTAAATTTCGAAAATGTCCTTTAGACGATGTTGTAAAATCTGTAATGCCGTTTTGCCAAACGAAGAAAATGTCACAAAGATACTAACGAAAGGCATATACAAAACACTTAGCGTTATCGGACAATGGAGTTGTAATATAAAATATATCTCATAGTACGGCGAGACGGCCGAATCAATGCCCGGCAGGGCGACACCAAAAGGATGTGCTGAAATAAAAAATGCAATGGGTGTTATAGAATGACAACAATGATAAAAAGCCTTACTTCTGGTTCCCGTTAAAATTGGATGTGACATGGTTCCGATAAGATCTAGAAACGACGCCAAAACATTAAATAATGAAAACTTCCGACAAAATTCGGTGGCTTCCTTCAATTTGCCTTTGGCATAGTCATCACCATTTTCCTGTTACCAAAAAAAAAAAAACAAAAAAAGTTAAAATCTCTTTGAGACCTACGCCACTGACTTACTTCGATTTCCGAATACATGGAGTCAAACTCCGCCAAGAAAGCCTCAAATTTTGAACGATTGTAAACTATAACACCTGTACGCAGTAAGCAATCGAATGTAGCCGATACATAGAATACATTCAAAATGAATGGAGCCAGATTTCCCCACATTTCAAACAGAAACATGAATTGCATAAAATTCAATAAAATCGTAACGAATTGAATCGAATAAAGACGCCACAGTTTGTCCGATGTTGGATATATAATTGCAAAGAACTTCCAAATTTTGATATTTACTGAAACCATTCGATTTTCCTCCAGCATTTTGGAGCAGACACCAGTGATAGAATAGAACGACGATATTAAGGAAAAAGCAAATGAATGCGGATATGAGCAACAACTTTCAAACGAAAGATGTCAATCAAGCGAACAATGACAAGTGTTGAAGCTGATGAAATTCCGCCACTTTAAATAGCCCCCAAGTAATTGAAAATCGACACCGACATACAAACACATTCAGACACACAGACTAATTACTGTCGTTCATGGCTCTCCAAAATAAGGACTCAAACAGAAATATATCAGAATATACGTGTGCGTGTAAATGTACATCCCCTCCCAGTGTCTGCAAAGTGTAAATTTGAAAATCGAATTTTCAAATTGAATTATTATGGAACGAGTGTCGTAATACCACAAAATGGCCAATTATCAGAAGTGGCAATTTCCCTAATTGAATGTTGCACTATTTGGACAAAATTAAAGGTTTGAGTTACAATTGATGATGGACTCGTGTCCCTTTTGTTTGTCCGTGCTTTCAATCGTCATCTACGGTGTGAATATGCAAATCAGTTACAGCCGATGGCGAAATTCACGGTTCAGTGTAGCAGACGAATTGCCTATTATTTGGAGGATTTGACACGCGACAGATGGATAAAAATAATTGAAATTGGAAAATTTATTTGTAAAACATTAGTCACATGTATAGATGAAATGAAAATATGAAAAAAATAATATATAATATAGCATCAGAATCGGAAGTATCCTTAAAAAAAATTTAGTTGTTGTATGGCCAGATCTATTGATACAGTCTTCACATTTGGAACGAGTAACGGAATTTGCTACAAAAATGAGTTTTCCAAATTATACTGAAATTGGATCAGATTTAAATATAGATCCTATTTATATTTTCGACCGATTTATACATACATATGTATATCCGACTTTAATGAAATTCGGTATGAGTAATGAAATATGGCACAAAAATAAATTTGCTAACTTATATTGTAATCGGTGCAGACTTGGATATAGCTCCCATACTAAAACCAAACACACTATATATATCAAATCAATCATATCAATGAAGTATGGAATGTGTGACGGAAATTGATCTAAAACTATTTTTTTATTTGTTATTTTTTTTTTTTTTTTTTTTGTCTAATTATATTAAAACTAGCTGAACCCGGTGCGCTTCGCTACCCCTTTTGATTTTATATGCATTCAAAATTTTATTTACGAATATATGTTGATTAAAAAGAAAAAACAAATTTAAAAATTAAAAAAAAAATTATTCCACTACTTTAATGCGTAAATAAACAAAACCATTAGAAAAGCAGTAACATGACATACATACACGAAGGGTTTGTCCTTCGGATTTATTTATTTCATAGCAAATACCAAGCGTGCAGTAAACTGCAATCTTTTGAAGTTGAGTAGCATTTCTATTGCAATTAGTGAATTCGAGATAGCAACATACTTCGCCGTAATAAGCGTATTTCAAATCAATTGTTGTGTTGTTTTTTTAGTGTTATCCTAAGGCGTTGTGGGTCAATGGTTCTTATTAAAATCATATCCCAATCTGATCCGATTTAAATATAATTTAAAAAAAAATACTTTTACACCAAATTCCTCCACACATTTAATATTTCATTGAAATTGGTGCGTCAGATATGTGAAATCGGCCGAGAATATATATATGGAAGCTACATCCAAATCTTAACTAATTTCCAATTAATTTGTCACATTTATTATTGTAACCAAATTCCGCCACACATTCTGAATTTCATTGGTATTGGTCATATATATCATGTTTGGTGCATAACATGTATGAAATCGGCCGAAATATATATGTTAGCTATACCCAAACCTCAACTGATTTCAATATAATTTGGCAATGTTTTCTGGTGCCAGATTTCGTCTCTCTCGCTTTGGGTGCATCAAATATGTGAAATCGGCTGAGTATATATATGTGAGCTATAATCAAATCTGAGCGTATTTGAATATAATTTTAAAATTTATTTTTGTACCAAATTAAGCCACCCATGCCGAATTTCATTGGAATCGGAAATACGTATTGTGTTTTGTGCATCAAATATGTGAAATCGGTCGAAAATATATATGGGAGCTATATCCAAATCTGAACCGATTTTAATATAATTTGACTAATTTATTTTCTAATCAAAATCCCGTTACATATTCCAAATTTCTTTGGAATCGAACATACATATTGTGTATGGTGCATAAAATACATGAAATCGGTCGAAAATATATATGAGAGCTATATCCAAATCTGAACCGATTTTAATATAATTTGACAAATGTATAATTGTTTTAATTTCCGCTACACATTCAAAATTTCATTGAAATTAGGGACACATAGCGTGTTTGGTGCATCAAATACATGAAATCGGTCGAAAATATATATGGGAGCTATATCCAAATCTGAACCGATTTCAATTTAATTTGACAAATTCATTTTGGCTCCCGATTCCGTTACTTATTTTAAATTTCATTAAAATTGGAAATACATATCGTGTTTGGTCCACCAAATAAATGAAATCGGCCGAAAATGTATATGGGAGCTATATCCAAATCTGAACCGATTTCAATATAATTTGGGAAATCGATTTTTTAGATAAAATCTATCACACGTTTCAAATTTCATTGAAATTGGGGATACATAGCGTGTTTGGTGCATCAAATGCTTGAAATCGGCCGAAAATATATATGGGAGCTATATCCAAATCTGAACCGATTTCAATATAATTTGACAAATTTATTTTCGGATCAAATCCCGTCACATATTCCAAATTTCATTGGAATCGAACATTCATATTGTGTTTGAGGCATCAAATGAACGAAATCGGTCGAAAATATATATGGGAGCTATATCCAAATCTGAACCGATTACAATATAATTTAGCAAACTTATTTTTGTTCCAAATTCCGTTACACATTCCAAATTTGGAGACTGTATCTTTAACCGATCAATAGATATGTCCATATAAAATCTAAATTTTTGGGAGGTACCTCCGATTCTGATGCTATATCTCCAGTTCCAAGTGGAAATTCAAAAAAGTATATAGCCTATCTTACTTTCAGGCGATGTTGCAGTTTATATGGAAATTTTCAGTAAAATCTGTTCAGCGGTTTTCGAGTCCATAAATTACAAACAAACAAACATACAAACATTTTTCTCTTTTATAGATATAGATAGGTTCAGATTTAGATATTATTTTATTCGGAACTCCTTTGCTATCGTATTAGGCTATTAGTAAAAACAAGTAAGCAAAGCTATAGCCGTGCGGGGCCGACTATGTGATACCCTACAACAAAACAATATGTTCGAAGTCCCCTTGTGTTCAAATCCATTTTGGAAGATTTCGTTTTTGAAATAATGTCCCTGCTCTTAACTCTCTTCTGATTTGAAATTCCGTTTCGATAAGTTTTTAATATTGGCCTATTGAGCCACAATTTGTATGAACAATAGTCTGACCCTAACCCTACCACCATGCAAAATTTCGTGAGGATCGGACGATAATTGCGACATGCATATAATACCCTCAAAACGTAGTGTTGCGAGGTGTAAAAATTTAGAAAATTTACAATTGAAAATTTTAAGTCAAATTGAAAAAATCACATGCAATAAAAAATCTGAAAAAAATTGAAACAAGTATAAAAGCTGTAAGTTCGGTAGGGCCGATGTTTGAATACGCTCCACCATTTGGAACGAATTAGGAAATTTTCAAAACAATAAAATCTATTAAAAATTTTGTTAAAATCTTAAAAATACCGAATATCGAAAGATGCCTATATATGGGGGCTATACGACATTGTGGACCTATATAGACAACTCTATTTCAGGGGGTAAAGTACTCACAAAGAACTCCTTGTGTAGAATTTCAAACAATTGCATTGAAAAATGTGGCTAAAATCATAAAAATACCGATAAAGCCCATCTTTGAACTTGACCTGCCTGCAGACAAAAGACAGATCTGTGCAAAATTTTAGCTTCCTATCTTTATTTATTTTGACTGTTATTCGCGATAACAACAGACGGACGGATGTGTTAGAACTTTACGCTGATCAAGAATATATATATACCTTGTAGGGTCTAAAATGATTATTTCGATGCGTTACAAATGGAATGACGAACTTAATATCCCTCCATACTATGTATGGAGGAGGATATAAATAATGGAACAAAATATATTAACCATTCCGACCATTCCGACTTGATGGGAATTGTGAAAATCGGCCCAGCGGTTCTTGACTTATAAGCAGAATAAATAAGATGTAGGCTTAGGTTGTATTGCCTCCTCGAATTCCTATAATAGTTCCAGTTGAAAAAAAATGCTATGACAATTCGTAAATCGCTGGACAAACTCTTCATGTACGAGTATTAAATTTGACATGTTCATGCTTTTCTCATGGTCAGCTGTACCTGGCGCGTTGGCAGTCGAAGAAAAGGTTTTTGTAATAAATAAAAAAGTTTTTTTAAATTCATTAATTTGTTTTATTTTTATTTATGAAATTAATCAAGATCACAAAATGAAATTAATCCAGTGACAGCTCATTGTATTGTTTACAAGCGTACAAAAGCATTTTTGTGAGAATTTCTCAGAAAAAAAGGTATTCGTTATGGAATTCAAGCGTGATAGTGTGATTTCTTCATATTTGGCTGGAAAACCACAAGTGGCTATCGTTAGAGAACTCTAGCATTTAAATGTGAATAAATCTTTTGTGTCTCGTACCATCGCTCTTTAGGAAGTTAGGAAGTGGACGAAAGAAAATAGCAACATCAGCAGAAATGGTTCGAAAAATAAAGAAGCGACTTGATCGAAACCCTCGTCGCAGTGGCCCAAAAATGAGATGAACATATCGCAAAATTCCATTCGGCAAATATTGTAAAATGAGCTCGGGGTAAAGCCATTGAAATTCCCAAAAGTGCAAGAACTTACATCGCAACAGAATGAAAGTAGACTCAAAAAAGCTAAAGAGTTGCTTCGCTTGCCCGATAGTGGTGAACTGTCGAATTTGGTTTTCTCCGATAAGAAAACATTCGTTGTCCAGCAGTCCAGTTTGTAAACAAACAAAATGATCGTGTTTAGTTGCCAACGAGGTCAGCTGAAAATGTACACCTTCGGTTGGCC